AGGCCATTTTGAAGCGTTCTCGGCGAGTTAGCGCTATTTTGGTGTTCAACTCTAGTGAGCTTGGGCTGCCTGTGATCAACCTATTGACAGGCGGAAGGGCCGATTCAGTGACCAGACAGACAGAATAAATGAAAAACTGACAGACAGACTGAAATCCGTGCAGACAATTCAACCAAACGACTGAGCAACTGACACACAGAGACAGACAAAGAGACAGACAGCTGTCATTCCGTAAGGGGAGTCACGTAATACTGACAGCATAGCATATTTTCCCTAGTGCCTGCACTAAACCAGATCGTAACTGCAACAGGGGTAGTAACCTGGATTGCTCCCAAAAGCCATCAAAGCGCTACTGTTAGACTCCTCAGCAGGAAACGCCTTACTAGGGCTCCAAAAGTCTGAAATGTTTTAGTCGCTGAAAACTTCTGGTAGAACGAATCTACTGGTAGAACGAATCTACCCTGACGTAGACACAATGTGCCTTTCATTAATGATTCTTTTATCTTATTATTCTAGGAAAAATTGTTCTTTTGGAGGAGTTATCTCTGTTAAGGATGCACTGATTTTCTTCAGCGACAGTCCTGGAAATCGAGTTCATGTTATTGATGTGGAAAAACAAAAGGTACGATTGGGCATAAGAATTCATTAGCATTATTACATATCTGGGGCGCCTTCGTATGCTACTCACCAGAAAAAATTAAAAAGAAGGAAATTAGGATTTGAAGAGCAATGGGCTGCCTGATCCCGTTTAGATATTGTTGTAAATGATATTCCTTAGCTTTAAGCCATACAAATCGTGAACATTTCTCAGTTTTTTCTCTTTGTTTGTTTGTTTGGTTTTCTTTCTTTCTTTTTTTTTTTTTTGCATCATTCTTGTAAAGAAAGTGTTGTCAATTTTTTTACAACTGACATTTTCAAATAGATAGGTGATGCACATGGAAGATAAGCCCCACTCACCAGGGAGGGATAAAGACTTGTTACATCTATACGTTTATTTCAAGATCTACTAAGATGTACTAAATATATCCTCATCTTTGAAGGTTAAAGAGACAATTGCAACCGGAGGATATCCTTATGACTTGTATTATCTCCCCTGGCTGGAGGAGGTCTGGGTTCACACGTGGAGTAACTCTCCTTTTGACGTCATCAGTACTGCGGGAAGTCTAAGGAAGACTCATACCGCCATTAAAGCGCATGTGCAACCAGGTTAGTACCAAAAAGACGTGGATATAACTTGCTAATTGTTTTATCGTAAAAAAAAATATGATGTTCTCTTATATCAAATAATCGTTACCTTATGCAAACAACAGCATTTTCCGAGTTTTTATTTATTTATTTTTTTATTATTGCAGAATTTAAAAAGTACATCATATCAGACAATCGCAAATCTAACCATGTCACCTAAGTTTACCACATCTCAATAAAAAAAAAAATTTTATCCCATCCAGTGGGAGGTATATTGACCCAAGTCGCTTCAGAAACCGTAGTGAGCTCTCGCAGGACAAGCTACCAAGCTCACAGGTAGTCTCCTTCGCAGCCGTTGTTTGGGCTCGTCACGCAACGCTCCCTCCCCCACCAAACAACGGCTGCGAAGGAGACTTGCTCACAGGCGGCCCAAGCGTACTTTATGTGATTTTGGGGTCTAAAGTTCATTAACGGCAACAACTAACATATTAAGATCGAATTTTAAGCCTATGTGTGGGCCGTTAAAAAAGGGAAAAATTATAAAAAAGAATAAAAAGTTTAAAAGGATAAAAAAAGCGAGGAATAAAACGTGTGAAGTCTCCTTACCTTTTTGCCAGCCTGCCTTTTTTCCGTAGCCGCCTTGTTGCCAACGGTCGTTTTAACGCTGTTTTGGCGACCTCCTCTGGGGTAAGGTAACGAATCTGATCCAACCGACGCGTCGGCCAACGTGTCGGCCGACGCGTTGATGCTGTGTTTTTGGACTTCGCTAAGGCGTTCGATCACGTAAACCATAAGATTCTACTGCATAAACTGCGTACCTTTGGAATAATAGGGTCACTGCTAGCCTGGTGTGGTGATTATTTATCGTGTCGTAAGCAGAGAGTTGTGGTGGATGGCAAAAGTTCTAGCTGGCTGAATATCACATCTGGCATGCCGCAGGGGTCCATTTTGGGCCCCTTGTTTATTTTTTTATCATCATCAGTGATTTGCCAGAGGTAGTCCAGGA